TGTAGAAACGCTTCTTGAGCATTTTTCGGATCTTAACATTGAAAATGTTCTGGATGTGCCGGATATAATAATTCCCAGATGGACCAATGTCAAACCAATTATAGATACCTCAATTTCCAGACATAAAAAGGATACGGCACTTCCAGTTGAAGTTCAAAAATTATTTTTAGAAACTTTGGAAAAATATAAGGAGTGTCACATCTTGTATACGGATGCCTCAAAAGTTGATAAGGAAGTAGGGTGTTCCGTTATGAATTTTAATACTCAAAAACTATTCAAAATTCCGGAGGCTTGCTCAGTGTTTACTGGTGAAATGCTAGCAATTAGAGAAGCTCTTAAACACATAGAGACAAGTGAAACTACCAATTGGGCAGTGGTGACAGACTCTATGAGTTCATTACTAGCTATTGAACATAACAGGCCCAAAACCTCTCTCGCAAAAGATGTAAGAAACGTTTGGTGGCTACTAAGGGAGAAGGGCAAAGAAGTAGTGTTCATTTGGGTCCCTTCGCATTGCGGGATCATCGGTAATGAACAAGCAGATCAAGCAGCCAACATAGCAAGAAAGCCAAATACAACATCCGTTGAATCAATTAATGAAATCCCTCTGGAGGATTACGTTATAAAAATTAAGGAGAATGTATGGAACATGTGGCAAAACAAGTGGGAACAAGGAGAATCGAAATTAAAAGAAATTAAACCCCACTGTTTAAAATGGGAAACCTCGCACCGACCATCTCGAAAAGAGGAGACAGCCCTTTGCAGACTGCGAATTGGACATTGTGAGTTCTCGCACTCCTACCTACTAAGAGGACTTGATCCTCCGACCTGCGAGAACTGCAATGTCCAAAGGACAGTAAAACACATTATTCAAGAATGCCCTACATTTGATCATATAAGGAGAAAGTTAGACATGGCACAGAGTCTGAAAGAAAATCTACAAGACCATGAAAATGCCGTTAAAAAAACTGTAGAGTTCTTAAAAATGATAAAATTCTACAACAGAGTTTAATTCAAAGGTGTTGCCAATGACCCTACAGGGTAGAGGCAACAAAAAAAAAATCAAATAAATAAATAAATAAATAAATAAAATTTAATATAAACTAAATACAATAGAGATTTTTCATTAAATAAATACGTAAATTAAAATAATAATAATATCCCAGCATCAATTTTTAGTCAACAAATTTCTCTTGAATCTGTTCCTTTGCATTTTCTTTCAGTTTCAATCCTTTTCCTCCAATTTTCTATGATGGAAAGGTACAAGGATGCCCAGATGGGGGTGTCATGACATCGATATTTTTGAGGAGGGCATATTTTGAATTTTTTAGGGGGCAAATTTCGATGTGGTTATGAATTTTGGGAGGCAAGGGATAAGAGCAAAACATGAAACAGACCGCAGCAAGTGTAATTGCATATGATATACGATTTTTCCTATTTTCTAAAATAATACCATAGCTTATTGCTTTTAAGAAAAGATGAGCAATAAAATATCTTGAGAGGAGAGGGAAAGGGGTAGATTCTTAAGCCATTGATCTTGGGAGGGATGGGCACCTCTGGAAAGGTATAAATTATAATAGGTATTAATTTATTTATGTATAGATAGGATTTTTATCGTTGTTTTTTTTTGTATTCTTGATTGAATTTACCAGGTAATTACTAAACCCGCAGATGATTTTGGTATTCATCATAACAAAGGGATGTAAAGAACATTTTGATTACAGTAACACCTAGGCGGTCATTGGTGCAAGGTAATCATTCTATGGGAATCCTAAATTCCATCATCTGTTGAGTAATAACTTATCCCATGAAAATACGAATTTTCAGAATTTATTAAGAACTGACTTATTTATGAGTTCATTTGACACATTTCACAAAACTACAAAAATATTATTTTCACAACTCGACAAAAATACGAGAAATATATTGTATAATATATTTAACATATTATAAAAATATAATATAACAAGTTGCAAAATTAGTTTGGTATCAACAGCCTTTTTCTGATACTTTATAGAAATTCATGGAAATAAATAGTTTCATTCACTAGCGGATCCAGGATTTAATTTTGGGGGGGGGAGGCTTCAGCCCGAAAGCTTTTTTTTTTTTCATAAAAGTAACGATAATTACTTTGGAAAATACGAAAGAAACTAAGGACCTATACGAACTGGTGTTTAAGTGATTCCCCCTAAAGCCCTTTTAAATGTAATTACACGAATAATTATACTTTAAGAGATAATTTTTTAGTATTTTTTCCGATAAAACATGGTTATATTTTACCATTTTGGGAGGGGGGCTTCAGCCCGAAAGCCCTCCCCCGTAGATCCGCCCGTGCTTTCATTCATGCCTAAACTGTAGGAATATAGGAGTTAACTATATCCCACATCACAGGCGGATCTACGGGGGGGGCTTTCGGGCTGAAGCCCCCCCCAAAATGGTAAAATATAACCATATTTTACAGAAAAAAATACTAAAAACTATCTCTTAAAGTATTCCTGTTCGTTTAATTACATTTAATAGGACTTCAAGAACCACTTCAACATCATTTCGTATAGGTAGTTAATTTCTTTCTTTTTTTTTTTTAATTAATCATTTTTATAGTTATATGAAAAAAAATCTTTCGGGCTGAAGCCCCCCCCCCAAAATTAAATCCTGGATCCGCTAGTGTCCCACATTAAAAACAGGAAATTTTTATTATCAGTTCACCGTGAAAATAGGGATTTTTGCTGCTCTCAGAACATTGTGCACCGACAATACATAACGCATTGGGATCAGCTAAAAAGAAGTTGTTCTCTCCTCCTCCCAAGAACCTACCGCCTCTCCTCCTAAGATATTTTATTGCTTACCTTTTCTTAAAAACAAAGCAAGCTAACCTAGAATTAGAAAAATCATAGATAATATACAATTACACTTTCTGCGGTCTGTTTCATGTTCCCCCCTTGCACCTTTGTCCGAAAATTCATAACTCCGTCAAAATTTGCTCCCCCTCAAAAATTCAAAACCCGTCGAAATTTGCCCCCCTCAAAAATTTTGATGCCACAACTCGCGCCATATAACCCCCTATAAGAACCCCTGTATGATGCCTCGAAGAGGATCGCATGACGCAAGTAGCGCCATCAATATGTTTGAGTGAACACATTTTGAAAGTGTTATGAATCTTCAGAGGGAACCATAATAAAGAAACTTACGAATCAGTAAACAAAGGAAGAACATGGAAGAGAAAAAAGCAAATGTAATTGTATATAAACTATATTTTATAATTATACTTTCGCTTGCACCAGAAGAGGAGAGAAATAAAATTTCTTGAGAGGGGTCATGTAACTTGGAGGGATGGATACCCCAGATTGGAAATAAATAAATTAAAATTAGAAAATTAAAACAGTTAATAAAGTAAAACAAATCATTTTTTTTTAATTTGTTTATTTAGAAATATTACATTCTGTCACATGAAGGAAATTTATAATAGTGTTCAGAGAGCTCACTCACACTCTATTTACAATAAGTAAAAATAAATAATACAGAAACTAATAATAATAATAATAATAATAATAAATGTATATAAACAAAAGAACTATCCTAATCATACACGCTTGGGCTTGAGTGGAGGATCTGGCCGTTGCCAAAACTCCAATAGATGCTTATTCACAGAAGGTCTCTGGGCCACTGCCGCTTCAACCTTCGAGGAGGATTGTAAGGATGGGTGGTGCTGGATAGAGATTGTGCAAGGGGATTTGGATGGTAGGTAAGGTCCTGGTGAAATTTGGAGAATTTTTCTGGGATAAGGTCAAGAACAAATGGGATATTAAGGTCATGGTGGAGGATTTTGTTAGTTACATAGAACGGAGCATCAACTATTGTTCGAAGGACTTAAGATTGAAAGGATTGAATAGGTTTGATGTTAGAAACTTTTGCTGTCCCCCGCACAAAACAAATAATAATTATTATTAATAATTAATAATTAAATAGTATGGTTTTTAATTATTTAAAACAAATAATTAAAAACCATACTATTTAATTATAGGTGTAGGTTTAAAACTGATAATAAATAAGCCGTTATTTTTAACATTTGGAGAAACAGAAATTGGTGAAGGAATTTTTACTACAGAGCGCTAATTATCGGAAGTCGGGTTGCTATGATAAGATTTGAAAACGTAAATTCATCTCTAATAATCTCCCAAAAATTTATTATTTATTTTAAAATATTTTCTAAATTTTAAATTCATTATAATCACAATATAACGAAAATAAAAAAAAAATTAAGGTGGTTTGGGATTGCAGTCAAAGTAAAAATAAATTGTATTTATTTTTTTTTATCCGGCGTTTCGGCTTCAGTTTCCGAATTCATCAGTGCTGTTCTTTTGAAGCATATCGCTATAAAGCATATTTAGATATTTCACGAACTATAGGAAATACAAATATCTAAATGGCTGTTTACTTACGCTATTGTTTCCGTTACCTTCCGTTGCTGTCGGTAACAAGAGAAATGGAAAAAATTTGGCTTAGCGCTGATTTCGCTATTAGTTAAGCTAAATAATTGCCTTTCTCATAATTACTGAAATGTCTAAAAGCACCGTAAGATACTAACTCGCCCACGGGCGGATCTTCGGGGCATTCGGGCGGCTGAAGACCCCTCCCCCCAACCCAAAATGGGAAAATATAACCATGTTTTATCGAAAAAAATCATCTCTCAAAGTATTATTATTCGTGTAATTACATTCAAAAGGGCTTTAGGAATCACTTAAACAGCATTTCATATAGGTAGTTAGTTTCTTTCCTTTTTTCCAAAGTAATTATCGTTTTTTTTATGGAAAAAAAAGCTTTCGGACTGAAGCTCTTCCCAAAAATAATTCCTGGATCCGCTAGTGAACTCGCCCAATATCCTTCGAACGAACAGTCCTGATAGTTAGGAAGAAATGTCGACAAAAATTGAATAAATATAATTTTTTTTTACTGCTATTTCCAACCTTATTCTCCTTAACGATATCTTCCAACAGTCACCAATTATCCACCATCGAGAAATGAGATAAATTATCAAAACCGGATCTATGTTTGGAGGGGGTCATGGAAGTTGATTACTAACATGCAGTTATTATGGTATTGAAGGTAGTGGTGAGATTGCTATTAGCTTTCTTTTGTGAGTTTTGTCTCTTAAATATCTTATTTTGTATTTGAAACATTACAGTTTTTTTATAGAACGTTAACAAGGATTTAATTCAATATAATACAAATTAACTCTTTTTGTCAAGACTGCTTTATCTGATATGTGGTTATATTCTGATTTTTTTTATTTCTGTTTAATCTAATTTTAGTTAAATTAGGTTAACAAACATTGCACTTTTTCTTAATGAGTGAAAAAAAAAATGAAGACAATATTCGCAGAATGTTAAAATACTTATTTTTCATTCACTTCTATTATAATTTTATTCTGAAAAAAACTTTAGGATAGTGTTTAATTGAGAACTGATTCCTAATACATAATTCAGCAACTCCAGTTTTACCCCATCAATGAAATTATTATTTAAAAATCGATAAAAACAGGATTGTAGTAAAAACACTGTAACATATTATCATGATAATATTATATTTCAGATGGACAAATCCTTGCTTTTTGCTCACTCACTGAGATACCAGGTAATTTATTTCCTATGGTAAATTATTTTTTCTTATTTTTCAAATTGAATATTGGCTTTATTTATTGAATATTTATTTAGACAGTTTCTGCTATAGAAAAGTATTTCTGTTTTTATTGTCCAAAAGATTATCAAGCTCATTATTTTTCATATATTTTTTATCCATTATAAGCACAAAAAGAAATAATTTTGGCTTAACTTGTGCTTTTCAGGATGTGGGTTAAGATACCGAACAGACAGTCATATGCCAACTATAACCCATGGATATGTAACAAAGCCATCAGATTATCCTTGGCATGTTGGTATATATGCACAGTATAATACCGAAGATCCACCTGAATATATTTGTGGTGGTAGCGTTATTCACCCTAAGCTTATATTAACAGGTTATATTAGTTTTTTAACTCTCTTAGGCCTATATTTCAATTTAATCTGATTTCATGCTATTCAAATTTTGAGATAGTAGTTATTTATATTCTTGTTTATACAGATACTTCCTTTATCATATTAAAATAAAAGTTCATAAAGGTTAATTGATACTAAATAATCATGATAATGAATCATATTCCATCTTTTATATTTGAATAAATTCTGAATTCTATGAATCATATAAATTTTCATCACCTCTTACTTTATTTTCATACCTTATCCTTGAATTATATTTAATTTTTTTTTTGCAGATTACATTAGGTTTTATTTATCCATTTCTCAATCATATAAAATTTGATAATATTAAATTAATAATATTATTATTATGATATTGAATTTAATAATATTCTTCTAATAACAGTTTTTTATCTTAGCTGCTCATTGTGTATATGATGAAGAAATATATAATATAAGTAATGCAACATTTACAGTCATCACTGGAAAATACAATAGATCTTGGGACTATCATGATTCATTTGAAAAAAGGTTAAAGGTAACTCAATTTTAGATAAAATTAAGAAATTTTACAATATCAATAATTAGTTATTTTTACTTATATATTCCTAGCACTAATGGGTTAGAAGTATTGCAATATCTCAAATTTTTCATGTATACTTTGGTCTATGTGTTTGTCTATGAATCATCTCAATCATCTCTTTAATTGGAGAAGCTTTTCTTTATTTTTCTTGTAAAGTTTTAGCCTTATAGCCTATACATAAAATCGATTATCTTGACAACCCAATAACCAAAAAAACGTTTTTTTCTATAGACAACATTCAAAATGGTTCTAACAAATTTGATTAAACTTGCCTAAAGTATTCACTTTAAGTTCTTCAAATTTCAGTTGCAAAACTTGAAAAAAAAAAATACATTTTTCAAATAATTAATTGTAAATCATCCCATTTTTTACGTAATTCCTAAATATTGTCATTGTAAAGTGGATATTTTATAAACAAGCATCTATTTTATGAATATTACATTTCTTCTCTATGTTGAGCATTAATATTCTTTTTAATTTTTAGGTAATAGACATAAAAGTTCCCTTGGCATACAAAGGGTATATTCAAAGGTATGCTCACGATATAGCAGTGCTTCATCTAAATGAAACTATAAAATTTAGTAGTGTAGTTATTCCTATATGTATCAGCTGGGATTCTGAAATTGAAGTCAAGGAATTGTCTGATGTGAGAGTAAGTATTTATTTTCCAGTTCCTGGAACCATTTTTTAATCTTCATTTATTAGCCTTAATAATACCTCTACATCCATTTGATTGAAAAATAATAATATTGAATTCTAGGACTCTTCTTATTATCATTCTATCTTGGAATAATTTTGATATTTCTATAGTTTTTTTAGCAAAAAAAAAGACTAAGGTATGTTTATTTTTCCTAGATACTTTTTCATTAATCTGATTTGTTTTTAGGTTGTTGGATGGGGTGTTACAGAAAAGGGAACCTTCAGTAATCCATTACTTACAGCTCAGTTGAAATATTTCAATTTCACTACTTGCAGTAAGAGATTCGTGCATAGCAATTTTTCGCAGTATATCACAGATGACAAAGTTTGTGCAGGACTTGATAACGGTATGTACATTTATAATAATAAACTGATGATTTAAACTAATAAACTGATGAAATAAAGTAAAATTATGTCCAAATTATGACCAATATCCTATTAAACTGGACATATCCATATTACGAAAATATAATGACTGAACTAGCTGGATTCAGAAGAAAAAGGAGTTCACTTGACCAGATTTCATCCTAAAACAAGTACTCTAAAAATTATGGGAAGTAGTTCAGATCATGCACACCTTATTTGTCGATTTCAAATCAGCCTATGATTCCGTAGACAGACGTCTTTAGAAAATTATGACTGAATTGGAAGTTCTCAGAAAATAGGTGAAATTGACTAGTAAAACAATGTGTACGAATTATTCGAAATGTCAAGTCATCAAACTGGGAAAAGTATTTGAATCCTTAAAAGTTAGAACTGGCGTGTGGCAGGAAGACGGACTCTTGCCGATGTTCAAATTCGGAAGAGGTGATAAAAACATAACATGGAAATGGAGGATTGCACGTTGGAATGAATCATAATATCGTTAGATATGTAGACGATATAATTGTACTTGGAATCAATCAAAGAGACATTCAGAGATTAACTAAGACTCTTAAAAAAGAAGCAGTGCAAATTAGTTTACTAGTAAATGAAGATAAAACTAAATAAATGATAATAAGCCAAAAATTCTACCCAATAACGGGATCGACGTAGCAGGCAATTCAAATACCTTGTCTCCATAATAATATCCTTCTATAAAAAACTAACGATTGGAAATATACCAGCATATAGCAATCACAAATATAGGTTTCTTCTCTCTTTCACAGGCATTGAAATTGTCAAAAATCTCAAATTAAGGATGTATAATGCTATGACAAAGAAAGTTCTGATATATGGCTATGAGACCTGCTTTCCAATCAGCACAACAAAAAAATATGTATTTGAAAAATAAGCATTTATAATGTTGAAATAAATACATAATAGTAAATTCTGCCTACCTTGTCTATTTGTTACAATCATTTTATAAGTATCAATAATAATTCATTAAATGTAGTGGATTTTAATTACGATAACTGAAAATAAATTATGTGTAACCTTTACTTTTTAGAAACAACAATAGTTTACTAATATTCTATGGTACAGATCCCTTTTTAACAAATAATCAACATCCGTCTAAAACTTCTTAAATGGCTTCATCTAATCATAGCCTACAACTTCTTTATCTATAAAAATTCTCTGAAATGGGATGTTTTCTCATTAATTTAATGAGGTACTAAAAAACTCAGGAATATCCTTTTCTTGAATCGTAGGATAATTTGATCAAAAAATCAAGAAAGAAGTGGCTTACAAAAATATTGGTCCATTTGGTCTTTTTAACCTCATTATTTTGACATGTTGAGGATAGAGGCCAGTTTTTATAACCTCATTCAATAGACAACATTTAGCGATCTTCAGATTGAAAATGCTCCATATCTCGGAATTTTTGGAGACAAAAAAGTTGCAGGTTACGATAAGATAAACCCATTCATGATGTTTTAGATGGATGTTAATAATTTTATAAAAAGAGTTCTGTACTGCGTACTATAAAGTTAAAGAGTTTTCATTTTTATAGCATTAAATTTAATAACATGATTGATTTACATTTAGAATGCAATAAAATCATTGAAGGTACAAAAAATCTAGATAGAATTGTAATTTAAAATTATTACAAAATATTATTATTATTAAATATAATTATAGCAATAATATACTTCATTGTTAAAAATAACAATTCATTGCTGTTATTAATAAGAATTACCTGAAAAAAAATTAGAAAATTTAAGCCATTATGTATTTCATTTTTTAGGTACATCTGTGGAGCTGGGAGATAGTGGAGGAGGTGTTATCATCTATAAGAATTCTACCAATAAGGAACAGAAACATTACATAATCGGAGTAGTCAGTACAAAAGACAGTATCACAAAAATTGTCGCAGTTACTAATATCAATAAACTTCTCCCTTGGCTTAAAGATACTGTGTTATCATTCATAGAGAAAGGTGTATATACTTTTTTTTTTAAATGTTATTCTCTCTTTTATGGTTAGTATATTATTCATATTACCCATTATCTTATTTCATCCATATTCATTTTTATCAATACTGGAAAGAATTAAGAATATGGAGGATAAGTATAATATCTTAGTACTTTACAATTCTTTATTAAAATAATGCTTTGTAACAGACCAAGGATTGGGAACCTGTTCTAAGGAAGGTTTTATCCACTGGAAAAAAACACCATAAACAGATATTATCTAAAATGAATATAATATACAATCACTTATTACGATTAAATAATCCATGATTAGAAAACTGTGTGTGAGTTGTTGTATTGCGTACACCTGTTAATATAGACCAATTGAGTGCAAGAAAATAATGCCAAATTTCTTATTAAATAATATTTTTCCATATTCAGGGTGTTCCAAAGTAGAGCGAAATATTTAAATGAATGATAGCAGACCTCAAGAGGTATAAAAAAGTTTATATAAAAACAATGGTCTGATTTTCTGCAGAACCGCCTTCAGTCTAACTTTAATTTCCTCTTAAATTCTGTTTTTTCTTATTATGCTAGACCCTAGATACCTAAACTTTGAACATAGTGTTCAAACTTATTCCTCTCTTTATCGATATCACCAAAATTCTTTTTTTACAGCTAACCATAACATGTATTTATTTCATGCCCCAGTTATTTACCAGCTTTCATTAATATTGTATTTAGTTTTATAGTTTCTGTTTCTTCGCTTAATAGGACCAAATCATCAGCATAACCAAGCACAGGTCATGTTCCACCTAGATTCAAAACTTTTTTAGTATGCATTACCTCCCTAATGACATGTTCCAATCTTATTTAGCAATTATTAATTACTTAAATTAAATATTTTTTTAATAATCGTATCCTATTCAACAAAAAATGTGCCTTACTTAAAAAACACAAAATTTAAATTTCCTACTCCCCTATGGAAAATTGGGCCATTGTTATATTGTTATATTGTTCATTAACTTTTTTGTAGCTCTTGAGGTCAGCTGCCACCCCTTTAAATATTCCCCTCTATTAACAGGATACTCTGTATATATATTAATCTTTTTTTAAATAATATTTCTATAAAATATATAAAATTGTTTTATTTCTGTAAAGAGATGATATAAGTTAATCATTCAGTGCTAGTGTCATAAGTTTGTTATATGTCGCCTGCACAAAACTTTTAAATTTGTAGGTAATAATAATAATAATAATAATAATAATAATAAGGCTTAGCGAACCCGAAGGTTCGATGCCGACACCACCAATCGCTTGTTACACACCTCCCTCCACCGTTCGCCGTCCAAACCCAGTCCCTTCAGATCGGCTTTAATGCAATCTTCCCACCTTCGCTTCGGTCTACCCCTCGGACGCTTACCATTCGGCATAGCAAATATTAACCTTTTAGGAATTCTCTCGTTACTAAGCCCAACAACTTTACAAGCCCATTTGATTCGCCGCGATGAAATTACCTCAATTATATTACCCGGATACAGCTCACGCAATTCGGCGTTGTGTAACCGTCTGAACTCTCCGGTTAACTCATCCTTCTTCGGTCCGAATATTCTACGCAATACTTTATTTTCAAAAACCTTAAGACGCTGCTCATCCCTTAATGTAAGCGGCCAAGTTTCGCATCCATAAAGGACTGTAGGCAAGATAATTGTTTTATAGATTCTAATTTTTAAGTTTCGGGACAAGAGGCGCGAACTAAGTAGTTTTGTCATAGAAAAATAACAAGCATTTCCCACCTTCAGTCTAACCTTAATCTCTTCTTCAATTTCGTTTTTTCTAGTTATCGTAGAACCTAGATACCTAAATTTATCTACCTGTTCAAACATATTACCATCTATATCGATATCACCAGTAGTATCGCCATTTTTGCAGCTAACCATATATTTTGTTTTATCCACGTTTATTTCGAGTCCTAGTTCTTTACCGGCTTTCATTAGCGTTTTCGTATTTAGTTTTATAGTTTCAACATCTTCGCTTAACAGTACCAGATCATCAGCATAGCCCAGCACGGATGTTGTCCCATCCAGATCCAACCCTTTCTCGGTTCGCATTACCTCCCTAATGGCATGTTCTAATGCCAAATTGAACAGGACAGGCGAAAGAGAATCCCCTGTTTTAAGCCCGAACGAACCTCAAATTTTTCGGACAAATTATTACCGATTCTAACTATATTGAGTGTCTCCGTCAAGCACATCCTGACTAGATTTACTAGTTTTTTAGGAATCCCCTGCTCGATTAGAATATTATACAGTTTCTGGCGGTCAATAGAATCGTAAGCCTTTTTAAAATCTATATACAGCTGGTGAACAATACCTTTATACTCCAATTTTTTCTCTAATATTTGCCGTAAAGAAAATATTTGATCGATAGTCGAACGGTTCCGTCTAAATCCGCATTGGTAGTCTCCGATAATTTCCTCGGCGTATTCCGTGATTCGACTGGTTAAGATTAAAGTGAATATTTTATAACATACCGGAAGGAGTGAAATTCCTCGATAGTTATTACAATCCGTCCTCGGACCCTTTTTGTGAATCGGAATAAGAATAGATTCTTTCCATTCTTCAGGTAATTTCTCGTTCACCCAGATCTTTTTAACCAACCGATGTATTTTAGAAACTCCAGCTTCCCCGCATGCCTTAATTAGTTCAGTAGGAATATTATCGATTCCCGCTGCTTTATATGATTTTAATTTTCCGATAGCTACTTCAACTTCCTCTTTACTTGGTCCTTCTATTAACGGTTCAGCACTCTGGTACTCAGAAGGAGGACACAGATCATAATTTCCCGTATTTAAAATATTGTCAAAGTGGTCCTTAAACTTATTCAATATGTCAACCGGATCGGTCAGAATATTGTTATTATCATCCCTAATTCCAGACGTTACGGGCCCTACATATTTACGTGATCTGTTTATACCTTTGTACATGTCTCTTACGTTATTTTCAATTCTATTACTTTCTATTTCAATTATTTTATTTTTAAGATACTCCCTTTTTTTATTTTTGAGCAGTTTTGTCGTTTCGTTCTTTGAGATTCGGAAGTATTCCAGATTGTCTTCGCTAGGATTATTTAGAGCTTTTAATTTAGCGGGTTTTTCTTTTTTCACACATGGTTAAGCAATCTTCATCAAACCACGGTTTGTTATTCTTATTTTCCTTTTTTCCTAGACACGAGTTACCGACCGCTTTAATATTATCCCTGATCTCAACCCATAACTTGTCAATATTCTCGTGGTCTTCGTCAGGAAGCTCTAAAGCTTCAAACCTATTCTTAACATCTAGCTCGAATTGGTTTCTAATTGATGGATTTTTTAATTTTTACAAATTAAAATTCTCAAAATCGAAACGGTTTTCTTTTCTCTTTTTTATATTAAGTTTTTGTCGAAGTTTCGCGATTACTAATTCATGATCCGACCCACATTCTGCTCCGCGATAAGACCGTACATTGATTATACTGCTTTGCCAGCTGTGTTGTATCAAGACATGATCGATTTGATTTCGTGTTTGCGAATCCGGTGATGTCCAAGTATATTTATGAATATCCTTATGTTTAAACGTCGTACTTTTAATTATCAGGTTTTTCGAGATGGCAAAGTTTATCAGACGGATCCCATTATCATTACTATATTCGTGCAAACTTTCTTTACCAATCGTCGGAATATAAACTTCTTCCCTTCCTACCTTTGCGTTCGCGTCACCTACAATCATTTTCATGTAGTTTCGCGGTAGTTTATCATAAACCAATTCGAGTTTATCGTAAAATTCACTTTTGACTTCATCGTCACTGTCTTCGGTCGGACAATGTATGTTTATTAATGCGATTTTAAACCAACGTCCCTGAAATGTGGCTACCGAAATTCTATCACTAAAGAATTGTACGTCCCTCAAAGCGGATAGTAATCTACTCCTAATTAGAAACCCGGTACCTAAACAATGATTCCCGCTTCCTCCGTACCAAATAGTGTACTTTCCTTCCCTCATCGAGCCCTCCCCTGGCCAGCGAACCTCTTGCAGAGCCACGACATCCAAATTGTACCCATTTACCTCATTCGCGACCGATTTTAGCCCCCCTGCTGTGTTTAAACTCATTACGTTCCACGTACCAATATTTAAATCCCTATATTTCAACTTGCACCATGAATCCCCTAAAGCAGTCCCCACCCGGAGACCCGAACGGGGGACTAGTTTACCTCCGGATAATGAGCGTTTTACCTTAGGGAGATCCATGACTTTTTGTGGTGTTTGGTGAACTAAAGATATGTGAGTAGGGCGTTCAATCCTACGTCACACCCTCCAGCAAGTCTGGTGGGCCCCTACCTCCAGCAAGTCTGGAGGTCCCCTCCCTCCAGCAAGTCTGGAGGGCCCCTCTCATTGTTGGTCAGCGAGTCCATCGGACTTAGCCGGGAGGTGCTTTGTAAATTTGTAGGTGCCTCATAAAAATTGCTGACCTCTGCTTTATTCTCATCATGGTCAGTCAAAGCCATAAATTACTTTTCAAAGGATAAAATTTTAGTATTTTTTAGAAGAAAAAAGGATTAATTGTGCTCAATCAAGCTATTAATGCCGAAACTACTCCTTCAAACAGTTAATAATTCTTGACAGGACAAAAGATGGTTCCAGTTTTTAAAGAGTGTTATTTTGTTTAAATTAATGCTTGACTGATATCAGTACACCAGTACTTCTTAATGAATGATTAATAATTTAGATATGTCAACTTTTATATTTTTATTTTAAACAAAATCTAGAAAAATAAATTAATTTTAATGATTGATGATATAAAATATTTTTCTAGAATATTACTTGTATGTATCAGATGGACAAAGCCAATGAAAACCAAACTTAGTGATTAATACTTGGATCAAATAATCCAAGTTCTTATGAAATAGATTTATTAGTAAAATAAATAAGCCTATAATTGATTTCATATTTATATAATTATAAATTGGTGTGTTATTTGTTTCAGGATACTGCCTACCTCTGACTTCCAAGTCAGTTGAACTAACACAATGTAATTTCAATGGCACAAAAGTGGACTGTAAAAAACCTACAATGCCAGGAACAAAAGCAAAACTCCAATGCAAAAATAGCTTTCATGCAGAATTCCCTTATCCTCTGTACACAAATACAGAGTGCCAGAAGAACCTCACTTGGTCACCTTTAATGGATTCTTGTCTTGGTAACCATAACTAGTTTTGGATGTGATATCATTATTACAACAATTAATGTTATCTCACTTCTTTATTTTTGAATATTCCACAAAAGCGAATGGCCTAGGTCTTTGGCTGATATTTATCCTAAAACAGAAATAAACTACAGAATACATTTTTGGCTTGATAGATCCAATACATTTATAGATCAGACTTCATATCATTGGAAAACAAAAAAAAATCCAAATTAAAATATTTTAATCTTTTAAAATATTAATCATAAGTTTTAAAATATTATTTTATTTTTCAAAGCTCTAATTTATTTAAATATTCCTTATCTTTATCCTCCAAATATTTTTATAGAAAGAATCTCATTGTTGTGGCCATCATGTAGTTATTTGTTTTTAAATATATATTTTTTTGTGACCATATCATAATATGGGGGTAATTTTTAGTAAGTTATTTTATTTTAATTTTAATTTATTGTTTGTTTGTTTCCATACCTTTGTATGGCAAATCTTTGTATTTTTATTTCATTCTACACTACAAGACGTCCCAGTGACGATGTTTTCGGCCACTTCTGGGACTTTCCGCCTCACGTCGAGTCACATGATACGAGAGAAGCATAAAGAAAACATTACGAGACAGTATGGCTCTGCATAGAGAACTACCTCCATGAGGTTCTTCGTCTCGTCAATATTCCTCCTGGAAACCCATGATTTCATCTACCCAGGTTGTGACAGCGACTTACCACATCTGGGACATTTCTCTCCTCTAAGAGGACGTAGGTCAGGCTGCTGCAGAGGCATTAAAAGAGAAAAATATGACTGGCTGGCTGGAGGTGATATGTTTTATTTTCATTAAGAACATTTACAGGTGAGTGCCGCCGAATTAAAAAACATTTCTGACACCACGGGTCTCCAGTTATCAATAAGTAAAACAAAAAACAGTATTTTTCTTAATTTACACCTCACATTGAGGTTGCACATCCACTTGTACAGTACTTCATGCTAAGTTCTATATGGTACTCTTAGTGTAGTGGCTCGTGTGCTTTTCAGAAATGGTGAAGATTTCCGGTTTAAGACTGGTTCCACCATATTCCTTTTTTTTTTTACTTATATAAAATAAAATATAATTTTAAATTTATATAAATATAAATTATGGCCTTCTGTAATATCATTTTAATAACAATTAATTTCATTTCATTTTCTGTGAATAATAATAATAAATTAGTTTTATTAATAAAATAGCCATAGAATTTGTAAATTTAATTTCTAAGTTTAAGGTTATTTTTTTTTGTTTAATGATTAAAAGTAAATTTTGTATCTCTCATTATTTTATTATTATTATTTGTACTAGGAGAAATATTTTTAATTCATTTGTATTTAATTTGAAGCATGTTTAATTCATTTATTATGTTTTTTCAATATAGGATTACTGCTATTTGGTATCTATTTATCCACATGGATTTTTATTATTTTAACATTTTTAAAATAAATTAATTAACAAGGCTTCAGTGCATATGAAAATAAGGTAGTGCAGAATTAGCTGTTCACATTTTGAATGCACGCAAATAAAATGCATACTCTATTCTACTTGAGAGATACTTATAATCAAATATCCTGTTCATTTGTGGAAAATTTTACAGTACATAATCTAATTTTAAGCTCTTGAAGTTTTTTTCAAAACACATTTTATTTTATTTCACTGGTTCTGATGAAGATAAAAATTTAACTTTAGTATCAAAATATCCATATTACCATCCAGAAAGATTTTAATAAATAATCTATCAAAATGTTAAAGTATAAATGAGCTTAATAACAATTCTAAAAATATCATAAATTTTCATTTTTTTGTGAAAAACAGTAGTTAAGCCTAATCCTGGCCAAATCACACCCTTCCTTAATTGAACTGAATCGGAACCCTTCTTGGGTTGTTTTACTTTATTTATTTATCTTATAATTATTAGTAAATATTTTATTTTCTACCTTTATAAATATATTTTATTTCTTTTTTCTTGAGAATGTGGCAAAAGATACAGATTAAAAGATTATGTACCATCAACAAAAAACATAAAGAAGAAGCAAAGGAAAGTTTCTGAATTTCCATGGCATGTTGCTGTTTATTCTAAAATTAAAGGAACTATGACGTATTCTTGTGGAGGCACAATTATTCATCCTAAAGTTATTTTGACAGGTAAATAGAAAATTATTTATCTTTAATATTTTTTTATCAGGTGTCTTTTATTTATTTTTTATTAAACCACTACTTGTCATTATGTTTAAATAAATGATAAAAAGCCTTTTATTATGCTAAATTAATAAAAGTCTGGAGAAAAAAGCTAAGGTCAAGAGTTTTGTTATTGGTAGTTTTTCATTTGTTCTCTATATAAGCTTTACTGAGCTTCCAATGCTAAAGGTCCCAGGTTCGAATCCCGGCTCATGCCAGAATAATTATTTATTCTGTTTCACAGGGTCTACCTGGGTAGGTAGACCCTCCTGGGACACACCCAGCCTCTAATGGGTACCCTTAATTAAAATAATTAATTAAAGGGAAAAACATGGCGGTTGAGCGCGATCTCGGTCAAATCATCGCCTTGCACAATCTTAGACCAAGAAACAGTGCTTTCCCTAAACAGCACTGAACCGAAGACCCTTTATGGGTTGTTGTGGTACAGGTTTTTTTTTTTTTTTTACTATATAAGAAATATTTTCTTAATTTTTTTTGTGTCAAATACATTTAGAGTTATTATTTTCTAAAGTAATGCTTTAGTTTAAGTGTAAGTTGGTATATTGTTTTTTTTTTTTTTTTTTTGTCTTCCCCTTCCTCGCCTTTAAGGCTATACGGGGGTTTTCCTGGGCCAGGGAGTGTGGGTGGGGATTTAAAAACTCCTCCGGACAGTTGGTATATTGTTGATTGAATGTTCTAATATACAATGTTATTTTTAAAAGAAATGGTAATTTTATGTGTTGTATTATTATGTATTTATATATTCAATCAACCCTACGATGCCTTTCGGCTACACAGGTTTTTCATTGGTGGCAAATCACACATTTGTATGGCATTTTTTCACACATTTATACTTGATATGCTATGAAACATGTTAAGTATAAATACATCATACAACATACTATTTATCAAATAAGCATATACAGTTATATATTTTACAAAACGTAGAAGCAAATGTCTTCAGGAAGAACACTGGTCTTTGATGGTAGCATTTTCTGCTTCAGCTCAGTCCTCAGGTGGCCTTCCACGAGCAGGTGGACCCTCTTCTTCCTAGATTGAAGTATGCCAATCCCCAGTGATAAACCGAAGTTAACAACTTCAAATTCTTAGGGACATTAATTCTGGCATTAATCTCCTGCCCTCACCACTGGCCTGAGAAAAACACTAGCCTAAAAGGCGAGGAAAAAAATAATATTGAAGTATGCGGGCCCCGGAGTAGTTCTGTCAGTTCAGAGTAGTTCTGCTCCATCACTAGTTGAGGAAACTCATTCTCCGTGAGGGCATAGTCTAGTTCTCCTCAGTATTCTGGTCCTCAATCCATCAAAGGCGGTACAGTTGACTATGATTTGTTCAGCCATCTCTGATACTCAGCAATATGGATTGTATTAGTTTGATTCACATTTTCACCCTTAAAATGCATCCTGTGCAGAACAAGAATATTCTGTCCCACTGACCCTTACCATATATCTTTCCCACATCCTTAGGATCTAAGAAATAAAAAAAAATCCTGGTCCAAAATTTGGAGTTAGTTCAAACTTTTTGAAAAATCATTGATTGGTTTCTCTAGATCACCGATGATTTTTTTTCTTCACAATTTCGGAAAAGTGTTCACTTGCCTATTAGGTTTTTTGATGCCTTTTCTCATTTTTTTCCTGTGAATTACTCATAAATCTTTGATTTTTGTAAAAAAAAATTAATATATTTAAATGATGTTCATTCATATTTTATTAATGTTTGTTTATTACTTCATTAAAGAATATGCCAAGTAAATTTACAAAGTTCTCTTTATTATTAAATTTGTTTTATATTGATACATGACTTTGTGGCATTTCAGCTGCACAATGTGCATTTCTTATTGAGCCAGGTACAACATCTAATCCAAAAGAATTATTTGTTATTGCTGGAAAATATTATGTGAAATGGAACAAAAAATCTCGTTTTGACCAAATATTTCAGGTAATTATACTTATATATTTAAAATAATCTTTTATATTTTGGCGATGTAGCATAATGAAATTGTATACAGTTTTAATAGTTTACATCAATATGTAAAAAATGTTGGCTGAACTTCATCCACAGTTAAATAATCAGGATTATAACATTGACTATGAAATGAAATGAAAAAATATTTTATTATTCTGGGACTGTTGTCCCTTTAGAACAAAATATAAATACAGATTTTATGTCTGTGTGGTTACAATTAGATTGAATATTTACAATATGAGTTGATTAAAGATAAAAATACTGAAAAGAGAAAGAAAAGAACAAGAAAATTGTACATATATATGAGAAACTAAAATGACCTAAATAAATTGAGGTAGTTTCTGGCAGTGCTTAGATATTTCTCTTAAGTATATTTCACAATCAGTTGGATTGAGAAAGGAGTAGGTGCTTAAAGAGGAGAGGTTTGAAAGAGGAAACTGATTGAGCGTGTCGAATATCAGCAGGGATGGAATTCCAGAGGGAGGCGGCTTGTATTGCAAATGATTTGTCAAACGCAGCAGTGCGGTGAGGAGGAGGATAGAGGTCAGAAGTACGAGATCTAGTGGGACGGGATTGGATAGAGTATTTGAATTGTAAGCTGTGAAAAATATAGGAGGGTCGACGAGTTCTAATGATTTAGTACAGAAACTATGGTATAGGAACTATGGTAAGGGAAGTTTAGACTTTTACTTGGAGTTGAAGTTTAAATAGCAATATTGCAAAGCATATGTAAGAATATAAAAAGTGAGATTTTTTTTTTTATCAAAACACATAGACAGAATGTCGAAAACACTTTACCACTAGCCTTGGCGAGGGGAAAAATAAATTCAAAGCAAGTTTGATACCAGTAGCAGGGAAGAGCAGCCGGGGTTACAGCAGATCCGGCCTCGCCTACGAGGTTTAATTTTTTAACTCCTAAATTTACGCTAAAATAAACTAAAGGTAACATTACATATTTTATATATTGTCAGTTTTTTGGGAAAAGTTACTAAGTACACTTTTGGTCAATTTTTACCTGAAGGTATACAGTTGTTAATTTCGATACAATAACTCATTAAGTGTTACATAAAAAATAGTTTCACTAAGTGCACGATGTTTTGACCTTACAGAGAAAAATGTCACAATCTGGTACTTAATGATCTCTTGTTCTCAAACCGATAGATCACCAAAATTCATTATCTGCTACTTAATGACTTCTTTCACTGGATTAGTTGATCAGATGGTTAATAAAACTAATAAGTGAGGTAAATATATCTCCCATTCTATGTACTTGCAAGATTATAAAAGTAAGTTAGTGTTTGTTTAACTATGATAGTGTTCAAAAGGTCACCATGTGCGTCACCGTTTAATTTTTTTTCATTGTTCTGTATATGGTTAAGTATTTTAATTAATTGTCAAAAATATGATAAATATTTAAAATTTCAAATAATAAAAAATAAATAATCAAATTATTTATTAGTTCAGATCAATCTCTAAAATAATCAAAATTCTCATATACAAAAGCATAGTAAGACCAGTGGTTATGTATGGGTGTGACACTTAGAACGCACGCTCAACTCCTGGGAGAAGAAAGTATTGAGAAGAATATGGGGCGGAATCTTTGAGAATGGAATTTGGAGAAGGAGAAAGAATGAGGAGCTGCGGAAACTCTATGGTGAATCTGATAGAGCCAGATGGCTAAAGAAGCAGGGGGCGCCCTCGGATCAGATGGCTGGAGGATGTTGAGGACGATCTGAGGTGGCTGGGCGTTCGAACATGGAGGGAAGTAGCACAAAACCGTGGAGATTGGTTGGCTGTAGTAGAGGAGGCCCGGGTTCTTGCAGGACCGTAGCGCCATAATAATAATCAAATTATTATTTTAGTATTTTTTTTTTTTTATATATCAGAAAATTCAAATTCGATATTCTCAAATTCATTAAAATGTAACTTAATTACTTTTTACAATAAACTGACAATATGATCTTTACTTTATATTTTTTCTGCATACATTGCAAAAGGCTTAGGTTAGGTTTTAGTGGTAAATTTAATATTTGACGAGGGTCCAGGAAAATTTTTACTGGGGCCGGTAGTTATCTCCAGAACCTTGATCTGCACTCAACATAATAAATATTACTGATTTTTTTTTATAATACTTAATAACATAATTTAAAAAAAAGAATCTTTTTTGTAACTGTATTTAAATATATTGTAAAAGTCTATGTAAACCAACTTGGCTTGAAGTTGTTTCTGTATTTAATTACTAATTTAATCATGAAATACTGTACATTAAAATATTTCTCTCTTTTTGTTTTATTATATATACAGGTTATTCGTATAAAAGTGCATAATACTTATGAAAATGGATATGGAGGTGACATTGCAATGTTAGAACTGAATGACACTCTGAAGATAAGTAGCCAAGTTATGCCAGCATGCATAGATTGGTCAAACAAACTGAAATTACTAGACAAACCATATGTTTCTGGTTTGGTAAGTTTATTTTTATTAATGTTTGATCATATACAGTAAATTCTCTCTTTATCTAATTGCTCTTAGCGCAGTGAGTTGGATATGTGAATTACCAATAAAATCCAATTTATTGATGGCAATTAACAAAAAAAAAAAAAAATGTTACGCATAAATGCAACAAAATCATATTACAAAATATCAATGAGTGATTTATTTAAAAAAAAAAGAAGGAATGATGAACACATTACATTAGCATCAGGGCAAACAATAAAACAGTTATGAGATTAATCAATGTTGTTCAACATCTACCTAACCAACTTTTAGAATCTTATTCACAAATTCTTATAAGTTTTATTAATAACAAAAACACATTTTTTTTTATTATCAAATCTTCTCATTTTCATAATGAATTTCTTTAAAAATTTGTTTAACCTCTTTTCTTGATGCCAAAGTATATTTTTCTCTCTTTCTGTTTGTCCCAGTTCAACTTCATTTGCTCTACTTCAGAATTATCATGGACACTAATTTCCTTTCTGAATGTAAAAATAATTCCTGTCAGGAAAACCTATTTTTCTCTTTTCGCCATTCCTTATTTTCTCTACTCAATTCAGTTACGGGTCCGATACTCGGTTATAACTGTTCCTTTTTGAATCCTCACAGAACCTACGTTCCCCGTCTGTGAGTCTTCATTTCATCCTTTTAAGACCTGATCCAAATATCATATATCCAAACTTTTCTCATTCAACCTAGAACCATTACGTTCTACCACCTAGAAGAGAAAAGGGAAAGGATTATGTCATCGATGCAGAGAGCTCTTTCCAATCACAAGTTTATAACATCTTTAACTTCCTCCTCTGTGGCATTCTCTTCCTCCCAGTTTTCTGTGTAAAATATCAACCTATAGTTTTTAGCATATCTTTTAAGTGGTATTTCATTGATACCTGTGAGTTCCATATCAAACACATATCCTGTATTACTTTAGACCATATGCGATAACTGTATTTCTCAACAAAAATACTCAATTAGAATTAAATACAGTCATGATCCAAGCTGGTGAAGTGTGCAGTTGGATAATTAAAAAATCATAAATTATCAGCTGATCTTCCTTAAATTACTTGAAATTTGTAATTTAATTCTAAGCATTCTACAAATAGTTTAAATTAAATTAATTATTAATTTTATTTTATTATTAATTTAACCAATTTTTAATTATGATATTTTAAATTATTTAAATTAATAAATAAATTAAATAAAACGTATTAATGCTTTTTTGAATTTCATGCTTTTGCAGATTGCAGGATGGGGCAGAACTGAACTAGGCGATTATAGCGATGAGCTGAGAAGTACCGAAGTGTTAATGATCAATCGTACAACTTGTAACAAGCGACTGAAATTCCCTAACATACCTGCTGACAAGTGGTGTATTATTTCTGAAGACGGTGAACTGTTTATTGAAGATATTTATTCTTGATAAATGATAATTTTTTAATCAATATTTTATGTGTAAAATCATTTTTAGGTTCCTGGCTTTCCTATGGTGATGTTGGAGGAATTTTGTTCCCGAAGTATGAAGAAGGAACAGGAGAAAAAACTTATTACCTGTATGGTCTTATATCTGTTAGCATTGGCAATGATACTGTTGCAGTTACCAATGTTTTGTCTTATGAATATTGGATCCAACATATATTTTGAATAAACATAAGTGAACATTAATAATAAAAAAAAATTATTAAATAAATTATATTAGATTTAAGGATTGTATTCTTAAATTATAATCATGTTTTATCCACTGCCTATCACATTAACACCATAAACAAATTTTTCCCTGCCTACTGCAAAGCAACATGGTCATTAAATGTCAGAAATGGAAATGGCTGGGGCACACACTTAGAAAGGAGCATAACGAAATAACACAGCAGTCTATCCCAAGGTCAGCAAAGATGCGGAGGGCAGAGAGATGAAAATGTGCAGCGCTGGAGAGACCTGCTCAGGAGTCAAGTAGCTAGCTAAAGATCAGGATGCCTGGCAGAACTTCGTCATGGCTTCATGTACCACTTAGGGGATTTTAGGAACTTATAATAATAATGGCTGGACAAATGTCAAGGCCAATACTGAGGAGACTGGGCCAACTTCACCATCGCTACTACCCTCTATTTTCTCCCATACTATTTATTCACCTTGAATTCGATTTCATTAGCAGCATGGGCATCAGATTGATTTTCTACAGTACATTTATTTTTCTACAAATAAATATTATCTTAATAATGTCTTTTTATTTCCTGTAACCCTTTTCGTTCTTTTCAGATATATAGACATTTTTCCCAGGTGAGTGATCAGGGCTTAATGCCAGCGTTAAAACACCTGACACCGGGACTAAAACTCGTATCTTCAGTTTATCAGCTTACCTAGCAACACATGCTTTGCTTATGTGTTAGCCCACTTGGCAATCCGGCCTGATTTAGAGTAAAATTCTAAAGTTATTGAAGAATATTAAGCATTGAGAATGGTCCAGAGCAGGCAAAAGGAGCTCATTTGAAGCGGGAATCCTTCCTGCACTCGCATATTCTAGCATCTCCCAATATTTATTTAGTTTCAGAGGTTAAAAACATCGCTGAAGATTAGAAACCTGATAAGTGTCGCCCAGGAAGGAAATGTCTTGCGTTTTTGGCAAGAAACATAATTTCCTGCATTATGTATATATCCTACATATATTATTATATACATATAGTATTTCTTTCATTCTGAAAGCTGCCAGATTTAATTCTTTATGTTTTTTAAAAGTGAGTAAACGGTGCTGAAAACTGGGACATATGGACATTTTTCCATTTCACTATGAAAAAAAAAGAAAGACACTGTTTCATAAATATATTTTGAAATTAGAGGCTTTTACTGTCTTAAAAGAAATGAAATGATTGAACCAAGTACCCCGGCAATTGAAAATGGGACAAATACATTTTAAACTTTCCTTAATGGTACCGAAAACTAGTGGTTTTACCCTACTACAACTCTAATATAAATTTAATAATTAAAAATAACTTTAATATCAAATATCACAGTGTTATATTTAATATGTCCAACAATGGTTATCATACCTACTTCCACTGACAGGTTAACACATATTTGGGTTGACCTACTTTCTTATGCGATTTTCTTTATTCTTAGGTTTCTTTTCAGGAGCATAAATTATTTTCTTTGCAAAATAATAGTTTGCAGCCAGCTTATTGCAAGCTAAGTAAGAAGTGACAATTGAGATTGTCTCAAACAGGTGAAGAAGTAAACTTGTTTTAATAAAGTAATAATACTAAAATAAATTATCGATTATTCAAAATTTATAATTAAGTATTTTATTAAAAATGGCATTAGAAACCTAGAAAGGAACTAATATCAATTGCGTAATAAACATCAACTGATTCAGAATTTTGTAACATTCTTAAGCCTTAATTAGTTCAATTTTCACCTAAATAGACCAATTTTGTTTTCCTTCCATAGTACAACAAAATGAGGATATGAAAAAAAAACACATCCTATTGATATAAATATATATTTTAATTAGGTTCAATAAAAAAAAAAACACAAAAATAAAAAATACATATTTAATATGTTATAATCATTAAAATAACAATAATCATCAGTTCTGTGGTTAAACGTTGAAATATCAAATCAAGATTTTTTTAAAGTTTTGAAATGTTTTTCTAATCTCAAAAACTTTAAACTTTAATAACCCAAGGCCAAATTTCATATTAAATATGCTTTTTACTGTTATATAAAATAAAATTTATTTTACTACTAAAACAAAAAATATACATCTAATATTTTTTAATAATTAAGATAGCAATAACCACACTCTTCAAATTCTTATCAATAAATTAAAAGCTTTAATGCCATAATTGCATTTTGGTTTATTGTCCACTTTCATTTTTCAGGACTTATATGACATTCATAGTTAGATGCTATCAATTATGATAGCAAATGTATAAAATACTTTGAAAACTTACATATATTAAAGTGTTAATTAAAAGTAACTGATTCATAAGAATTTGGTTGTTTGTCACTCGACCTCAATATCTGATAGATCAGAGGAGTTAACTGAGCCTTCAGCTCTTTCTGTACTGAAAACCTGTTTCATAATAGAAGGAGTGGTATTCGTTTTGGATTTTGCTGCTCTAAGAATTTCATTTATTGCTTCATCCTCTTCCATTATATGCTTATGTTTGGGACTCTTATTATTTTGTCTTGCTTTAGGTTTTTTGTTCACCTTACACATTCTCTTTACAACGTGATTGTTCCTAAAAAATAAATAAAATACATTAAATAGATTTTTTTTGTCAGTATCCTAGAAAGTACCATTGGCAGTCAACGTGTTAAAAGCTCCAGTAATTATATAATCATAAAATATAACTAATGATCAATTTGAAATAAAATTTCACTTACTTCACCCCAATATCATCAAAAGAAGTGTTTACAGATGAATTATTATCATTTTTAGTCCCATAAACATTGTCGAACATCGAAGTGGGAGGAGTGTAACGTCCTTTAATTACGTTCTTCTTGATAGAACCTAGGAGTCCATTAGGCGTTAATGACTGAAACATAAAAATATATATTCACACGTCATAATTTCATACAAATACAAACTTATGATTTAACATAGTATAAATACTAGAGTTTATAAAAGTTCTTATAAATCATCAGTATAGTCAGTCATATAGGTTGTGAAAATTACAGTATCAACAAGAATCTGATACAAAGAAAATATTAACTGAAGAAATATAAAATAACCATAGATTTAGTACATTTAAGAATGACTGCAATATTTATAAAAATTGGTTGGCCTCATTTTTTAAAAGCATAGTAACATTAAAAATTGCATATAGGATAAATCCAGAGACCTTTCATTTATGGATGTACTATCAAACTCTTCAAAGGATCAACCAATACTCATACTCAATGCTCTGGTCAAACTCAGTACTCACTTTCAGGTGATTCGTAAGGGATAAATCACCTCCACTCATAGTTGGGTGTATAGCACAACTTGGTCATAATTATAAACTTGGGAGACAATATCAATAATTACTTTAAAAGAGATGGGTAATTAGTCGACTGATGAATTATTAGGTTGAATAAAATTGTCAGGATTTACAGTGAAGAATTTTTATTAGGTTAGCTGACGTTTTTACCCAAACTTGTGGGTCATCCTCAGTGCTAAAAATTACAAAAATGGTCGGTCCGGGGTTCATAAAAGGACTAAAATAGTAACATACTATCTCATTTAAAGCCAACGTTTCGATCCGACTTTGTAGGTCTTCCTCAGGACTAGAGCGAACAAGATACAAATACCAAGGCTATAGAACAATGTGGTAGTTACATATTGTTTATATAATAAATATAAACAATGTGAATAAACTTATTAAAATTATACTGTGTGAATAGCATCCATTATTACGTATATTATCCATCCTCCTTATTATATTCAATTTTTTCCTATTTCCAATAATCTACAATAATTTATTTACTTCAGTTTAGGGTCTCGTTTACTATGTTTATATAGTTTATTGTTCTTAACATTTCTTTGTACTTGCTATTCACACTGAGTATAATTTTTAATAAGTTTATTCACATTGTTCTGTAGCCTTTTGTATCATTTTCGTTTTAGCCCTGAAGAAGACCTGCAAAGTCGTGTCAAAACATTGGCTTTAAATAAAATAATTTGTAACTATTTTAGTATTTTTATGACTGGATCATCTACTTACTCAGTAAATTGTAATATATACCTTAATTGGAAGTTGTTAAAAATGGAGCCAGATGGCTAAAGAAGTAGAGGGCGCCCTCGGATCAGATGGCTGGAGGATGTTGAGGACGATCTGAGGTGGCTGGGCGTTCGAACATGGAGGGAAGTAGCACAAAACCGTGGAGATTGGTTGGCTGTAGTAGAGGAGGCCCGGGTTCTTGCAGGACCGTAGCGCCATAATAATAATCAAATTATTATTTTAGTATTTTTTTTTTTTTATATATCAGAAAATTCAAATTCGATATTCTCAAATTCATTAAAATGTAACTTAATTACTTTTTACAATAAACTGACAATATGATCTTTACTTTATATTTTTTCTGCATACATTGCAAAAGGCTTAGGTTAGGTTTTAGTGGTAAATTTAATATTTGACGAGGGTCCAGGAAAATTTTTACTGGGGCCGGTAGTTATCTCCAGAACCTTGATCTGCACTCAACATAATAAATATTACTGATTTTTTTTTATAATACTTAATAACATAATTTAAAAAAAAGAATCTTTTTTGTAACTGTATTTAAATATATTGTAAAAGTCTATGTAAACCAACTTGGCTTGAAGTTGTTTCTGTATTTAATTACTAATTTAATCATGAAATACTGTACATTAAAATATTTCTCTCTTTTTGTTTTATTATATATACAGGTTATTCGTATAAAAGTGCATAATACTTATGAAAATGGATATGGAGGTGACATTGCAATGTTAGAACTGAATGACACTCTGAAGATAAGTAGCCAAGTTATGCCAGCATGCATAGATTGGTCAAACAAACTGAAATTACTAGACAAACCATATGTTTCTGGTTTGGTAAGTTTATTTTTATTAATGTTTGATCATATACAGTAAATTCTCTCTTTATCTAATTGCTCTTAGCGCAGTGAGTTGGATATGTGAATTACCAATAAAATCCAATTTATTGATGGCAATTAACAAAAAAAAAAAAAAATGTTACGCATAAATGCAACAAAATCATATTACAAAATATCAATGAGTGATTTATTTAAAAAAAAAAGAAGGAATGATGAACACATTACATTAGCATCAGGGCAAACAATAAAACAGTTATGAGATTAATCAATGTTGTTCAACATCTACCTAACCAACTTTTAGAATCTTATTCACAAATTCTTATAAGTTTTATTAATAACAAAAACACATTTTTTTTTTATCCAATCTTCTCATTTTCATAAAGAATTTCTTTAAAAATTTGTTCAACCTCTTTTCTTGATGCCAAAGTATATTTTTCTCTCTTTCTGTTTGGCCCTGTTCAACTTCATTTGTTCTTCTTCAGAATTATCATGGACACTAATTTCCTTTCTGAATGTAAAAATAATTCCTGTCAGGAAAACCTTTATTTTTCTCTTTTCGCCATTCCTTATTTTCTCTACTCAATTCAGTTACGGGTCCGATACTCGGTTATAACTGTTCCTTTTTGAATCCTCACAGAACCTACGTTCCCCGTCTGTGAGTC